CGCTGGGGAGTGATCGTCCGACATAACGTAACAAATTTCCAGCTCCTTCGTGGCCTCGAAACGTTGTTCGATCGCTCGAACGCGCATTTAAATCCTCCACGAACCTCTCTCTCTCTCTCTCTTTCTATCTACTTCTATATTTTTTTCCCCTTTCCTGTTCTCTTGGCTTCGAGGACGGATCAACCCTCGCGATGGGGTAGGGCCGTTCTCTTTACCTTTCAGCCCCTCTGCTCTACGAGAAGCATGGTCGACCGCCACGACCGCCCAGGGACCGATTCTTCCCACGCACAATTTACAGTTTCACATTTTATTCCCATCGCGCGTTCGACAACTCGTGGATGGCCGGTCGAGGATAAACTCGTTTCACCCTCGCCGATCATCTTTGGCGTGGGGCAGGGATCTGTCGTTGTCGGATGTTGTTCTACGCGGATCGAGAATTCGAATGGCGAATTCGAACGGTTGTTCGCTCGTATCACGATGATTTGTGATTAGGGTTGGCGCATTATTGACACGATGTTCCCAGTGGATCTGTTACGAATCGATCATTAGAGAGCAAATGTTCTTTCTTTGTAAGCATCTTTTGCGTAAATACCTTTCGTGAATATTCGTGGATATACATCGACGACTACAGCTTTTTTAGAAATTTTTTATGATAATAATTAATATTTACATTTTTGTATTATAGTAAATTAATTATTATTAATAATTACTAATCGTTCGAATTTTATAATTTCGCTGTTACTCGTGGAAATTGCTATTAAAATCTATTCATATACAAGATCCACTTGATGTTACTTTTAATAAGCATAGCTATACTATTGCACATCGAAGAAATGATTCGAATTTTTGTTAAATGTATGGTTTAGTGAAGTATTTATATTAATGAATACATATGTATTTCGTGAAGTATTTGTGAATCTATCCTGTATGAGAGGACCATTAAAAATATTTTAGAATGCGTTAAAAAATTAGAGTTAGGAAATTAAAAACAGTTGTTAAAAATTGGATCGATTGTTACAGGTTCTTAGAGATGGACGATTTCAAGGATCGGTTAGGCGTTAGGCGTGTAAGAAACCGGGGGAACCATGGTCACCTCGATTAATTCTTTATCGATTCGACGCGGCACGAGGAGAGTTACAGTAAAAAGCTCTTCACCGTGGGGATGCAAACGACCAGATGGATGATCGACGAAGAAATCGACCGTTTTTGTCACGAATCGGATCTTTCCGTAGCGTCATGCCGAGTAATTTGAAAGTAGGTGTTAAATATATTTATCACGCTTCTAACAACGCTTAAAATTCCACCGCGATCGATCCGGTTAAATTATATCTCATAAACCTTTCTCGCTATTCTTTCGCCATCGATCCCCGTCTAAAAATGTAAAATAATCTAGTTTTATATAATAATAAAATGTAAAAAAATCTAGTTTTAACATTCCTCATAGAAAGTATTTCGATGTCTAATTTAACAATGGAGTTTAATTTAATTTATTAATTTATTTAATTAATAAATTAATTTATTTAAATTTCAATTAAACTCTTCCGCGTTTTATTATTTTTATTTGAACATGTAAGAATAATTATTTAATATTTACTATTAATATTATTATTGATAATTAATATTATTTAAATGATATCACTGATATGAATTCATTATGTGTGTTGTATAAAATACAGTATATATTTTGCAAAAAATTACAGTATTTAATCCTTTACAACTACAATTTTGTTTATTTATAGGAGAAGAAAAATAGACAGATTAATTGTAGATCTTTACTCCAATGAAATGTCTCAGATAAATAAGTCATTTGATATTTTCGTAATCTATTAACGAAGTAATAAGTATAGTAGTAACGAAGCAATATATAATTTTCGAATTATACAAACAAAACAGTGACAAAATATCAATAAATGTCAACAATAATTAGTGAGACATTTTCAAAACGTAGCTCCATTTTGCCAATGTAATTACGACAGTTGTGTCTCATTACACTGTTCCAAGACATTAAGTTTCAACAAATTTTATATAACACACATTATGGTAAATGTTCGAATACTTCTGTGAGCTAGTGTAGAGGATACAAATAGAAAATTATTAACAAGTACGTAACTTCATTATTCTAAAAAAACTTCATTCATCCATGCCTCTCACATTTGCTGGAAAAATATACTGGAAACTCCCCTAAACGATACTAATTCGCTAAAGTGTAAACTTTAGGTGTAAGGAGAGGAGTCCTTGAGAACCACTGGTGGTTCCGGTTTATTAATTTCGTAAAAACTGTAGGACGCACGTTCACCACCTTTTTCATGATTTAATTAGTTAGCATCGGTGGGGGCCCGGCCACCTGGTTGAGGGGGACCACCATGGGACTCTACGGACCCAGGACGTAACCTCGGCGTCTAACGACGTGGAACACTCCTGTTCTTCGGCGAGTGTGCGCCGGTCGCGGTTCCGTAACGCGTTAAATTTATCGGCGAGTAACTTTCCTCCCCGTCTCATTATTCACATAAATCGATCTCTCTATCTCGATCGCCTCGAACCAACGAATCGCGCCGTGTAAGCCCCTCCGATGGTATCGTTTGCCTTCTACGATCTCGAAACGAGGGAAGTTCCTGTTTCATTCAGTTCTTTGCTTCTTTTTGCATTTTCGCTTCCACGTTTACTGGTCTCAAATTTTTCTTTGGTCTATCTATCAGAGAACCAATCTCTGGGAGAAATTTCGTTTTTTCCATCTCTAAATAAACTTCATAAAAGCTTTGCTTCATTCTCGAATTTCATTCATGGACAAAGTTCCATTCCATCGTTTCCGAACCAATTTCCAAATTCTAAACTTTATCAACTCTGATTCTAAATTTTATCAACTTTAATTCTAAATTTTTAATTCGTAACAGGGAAACGAATAGTTTGCTTCCAAGGACTTTTTTGAAGTCTCATCGTTGACATCTCGATGGAAATATCTTTTTGAGGGGAGAAAAAAAAAATTCATCGCATCATATTTTTCCATCTCTGAATATATTTCAGAATCTTCATTTCAGTTTTCAAATTTAATTCCTTTGCGGGAGACGATTCCGTTTCGTACATTTCATTTTATTCGAAACAGAATTGAACAAGTAGTGCAAATCGGGATTATTGTTGAATGAAAAGAGCTAGAATGTGAATTTGTTGATGAATCGACTGCACCATGTTTTTCACACATTCCCTCTTGTCAGGTGGGCGGGACGGTTCGGTAATTAGTGTGAAGAAATTGTGGCTTCGAGGGTGACGAAGCAAGCACGAGTTCCTACCACGTGAACAAGTCTGTCGAGACGGTCCCAGACTTCTTGCCGTTCCCCTAACTTTGTTGTTTTAATCGAACGGAATTAGTTAATATCCCGTCTCTTGTTTTCTTACCCATTTTTTACTCTGTATGATTTTCTGAGCCTCGCGTTGTGAAATTATCGTGTTACATTATATATCAAAGATCGTTAGGCGATTTTATAAATTGGCCACTAAGTTCTGAATTTTTAAGGAATAATTAATTCTTTAGAAAAGATGATCTGCTGCGTTATTGACTGCGAAAATAAAAAGTTGATTATTTTCACTGATTATTTTCAAAAAATAGGGAAAGAAATTTTGGGGAGATTCTTTCTTTGAAAAATTGTATTCTTGGAAAATTGAAAATAAGGATTTTCTATTTATAGTTTAAATTTAGAGTAGAATTTTCCTATGAGAAATTCGGATTCAATATTTTCTACTAGGGATTTCCCATTTTGCGAGAAATTCAGGACAAAAATTTCCTAGGCAATTCGAAGCAAAAACTTACAATTATTCAAAGATTAATTTATTACGTTTTAAAATTCTAAAACCAAAATTTAATGTTTCTACAATGCTGTAATAAAACTATCCCATTTTTGTGAAACTATAAAATATGAAAAGAAACCTTCAAATTTTCATTACAATAAAACAACACCAGCAATTGCTGTAAATTGAACGCAACTTCTTTACAGTTGTCCCATACTTTCCGACATAAATTTTTAAAAGACTGTAATACGTTTTGGAAAAGAAATTTATCAAGCGTAACAAGTTGCACCAGGGATGTAAGCGAGTTTCACGTGCTTGGTCGTGCGATAAACGGTACTCGCGTCGAAATCTTGTCGCTATTAATAATGGCAGGAGGCAACGCCACCGCACGCTTAATTTTCCCAGCAATTATTCAAATGGCTGTGTGAATAATTACTTGCTTATTCGGCCCGTTTGCGGCGTTAAGTGGGCCGGCCGATCGTTATCTTAATCGAGCCGACCGTTTGATTAACCGTTGATTATTCAATTAAGGGAAAATATTTCGTCATGGTCAATTGAGCCGGCGTGCAGGTATAATAAAGCAGAATGTGGAGCAGCACGGTCGAGTTGTAAATCAATTAGTCGTTCATTGTTGTTATCGAGCAGCTCCACTCCGAGCAGACAATAATGCTGATTTGAACTATGAGAAGCTCGTTCACGATTATTCTTATTGTTGGTAATTTTAACAAAGGGATTTATTGTCACTTGGAAGCACGTAGACAATATGAGATATATATTTTTCTTCTTATTCAGTTTTGTTGAAAATGGAAATATCGTACTTTTTGTGGATTTTGTAAATTTCCCATCTTGGGAAAATTCGGAGTAGAGGCTTTCTGTTTCTTGGAAGATCGTCTGTCGGAATGTTTCATTCTAGGAAGATTCGAGAAATGGAAATATCCTATTTTTCGGAGAGTATTCTTTGCTTGAATTCTCTATTTTAGGAAGATTCAAGTTTCATTTGTGGTAAATTGAAAATAGAAGTGACCCCATTTTTTGAAAAATTCGCTGCGTAAATATTCCATTACTTAGAAAAGAGTCGAAGCTGAAATTTAATATTTCTTAGAATATGCAAATCGACACTTTCCCATTTCGCGGGAATTCGAATAATAATTCCCCCATTTTTGGAAAGCAGAGGACAAATATTCTTTTCCAGAAGATAATATAGAAAGGCAGAACCAATTACTGTCAATTAAATTTCCATAATTTCAATTAAATAACGCCAATCTCCACTTCCATAGTCCACGATTTCCAACGATCAGTAATTAAACATTCGTGAAAGTCACCCAATTCCAGACATATAAATAATCAAAAATCCCAGGAATCTCCCATAAAAATTTATTGCCTCTTAGCTGAAGATCATCAGTGAAACGATGATCAAAGAATTCTCGTGTCACTGACGTATTGTACTGTTGCAGGGAAAATGCAGCGGCAGATTTCGAATCTGCATTTATTCATGGATCATGATCTACTGGACGGTTCCAGGGATCGGCAGGGTTGCTTGATTGAATTGAGGAATGTCGTCGCGTAAGAAGGCTGACGAAGAAGAGGAGCAACGGAACGCGGAAAATAGGTGGGACGAGCGGAGAAACAAATCGTAATGACCGAGGGTAAGAAGTTTGATGAATATTGATCTCGGAATACCAGTTCTGATCCGGCTATCCGTGTTACACGCTTTTTCCAGCTACGAAGAAGGATACAGTTACGAGGGAATCTTTCCACGACGAGCAGAGACTCGTTCGACTTCTCGACCGTGTTCGATCTAATTTCCGATCGGTACGCATGCAGAGATGTCGACGACCACTTTCCTAAAAAGTGTTAACAAAAGATCGTGTATTTATCGACACGTGTATTCACCTGGTTTTTTGATACACCAACGACGATCAAGGACGAGGTACGAGAAATAGTGAGACGAACTAATTCCATTAATTTGACGATATATTTTCCGAGTTTTAATATCTTTTCAAAACCCTTTGTATTCTGATGAAAGTAGCATAAATACGCAGCTTTGTGCAGATGCTTATATCTCTTCAATATGAAATTTCGAAGTGTAGAATGGATATTGGATAGAAAATATAAAAATATACAAAGTATCAAAAGTTGAATATTTATTGGGATATTTAGTTGATAAATTTATTTAAAATTCGTAAGGATATGTAAAATGAGCATTTGAGATTTGTTGGAAAATGGCAGTAGAATGCTTTTGCATTTTTTTCTTTCGTGTAATATAAACATTGAATAAAAGAAGTTACAGGTAACTTAATTAGACAAAAAGAATAATAGCACAGTTCTGTTATAAAATGAATACATATCAATGAAAATATAACGACAATGTTTGCAAATACTTGTGATGGCCATGTATGCAAGTAGAAAATTATTTATTATCAGACGGTTCAAGTTTGTAAGATTGAAAAATTCGAAAAATAAAATCTAGAATAAGTATAGAAACATAACATGAGGTTATTTTTTTTCAGTTTTTTTTTACCAATGAAGAATCACACGAATCGGTGGAATGGCAATTGAAAACTACAAGTTTGACGAATATTGTTTTAAAACGAATCGTGGCAGTCGAGAATTAAGAAAGTAGAATTAATTATTAGTAGCGTAACGATCTACGTGGGCGGTCGTTGCTTCACCATCGTAACTAATCGATTGCTAGACGAGATTAAAATACGTCGTAATTCAATTTTTACCAATTCAGAACTGGCGGTCTAATCGATCTCTTCCGCTACGCTTCGCTGACTATTTTGCTAAATTAATCAGAGGCTGCTGCTTGTAAAATATTGCGGCACGTGATGTGTCAACGATGCTGTAAACCTCAATTTCTCAACAACAAACCGTCGATAAAGGACTAGAAAACTATCAGAAACTAATTAACAAATGTTTGTCACTTTTTGTCAGTTTCATGTGATAAATTTATATATCGTATCGTAGTTTTTAAAATTATCTATCAATATCGTGAAACAGAACTTACATTATTGTCATTTATTAATTATATATCATCTATGATTATTGATCTTTTATTTAAGATCGAAGAATCTACGCCAGTTGACGTGAAAATTTTATTTTCAGGGGATCCCTTGAGAGAATCGTTAAAAGAGCATCAGAATTTTTCGGCTCCTCGGTTAAATTACAGAGGACAATGTCTAAATCACCGCTATCGTCGTGTTCCCTGAAAATTTACCACTCGTGCGCCTTTACAAGAATCGTGTTCGCACGACGATCACGCAAATAACCATCGATTGTCATGGATTACGACAGCATGAAACAGTGGGTAACTGCGTTCGGAAGTTGGCGATGGTGGAAGAATAATACAGCGAGGCAAGGAATTCGAAGAATCATCGTTACGGCTGCAATTTCGGAGGATGTTGCGAGAGAGAAACAATCTTCAGACGAAAAATGTCGCTATCAGATGAAAGGTACATAGATCTTCGAAAATTCGAAGTCGTAGTTTTCATGAAAATTCAATTGAAATTGAAAGATCTCGCGAAATTTTCACGAGAAGATTCAACGAGACTGCGAATGCCGATGTTTGTGAAAATTAATAAGCTTTAGAAATAAACTCTCGAGTCGTGTTTGTTTCAAGATTTCACAAGCTCGAGGAATGAAAGTATTCTCGTGAGATATAAAATGGAATTTTTAGACTGAACAATTAAGAAAAGAACAATTAAGAAATGGAATCGACGCGGACAATTGTTTTATTTACTAAATAACGAGTAATATCTGTGCGCTTTTGTGTTTTCAAATTTCTTCTAATATAAATCGCATGAAAATTCACCCAGCCCAGTGGAAGATGTATTTCTTTTTTTCAACATTACGTTGAATTACACAGATACAAGCATTTAAAAAAATACTTTCTATATTTCTTAATTTTTGTCATGATAAATGATAGTCTAATGATTATCCTGATAATATTAAAATTTCGCCAATTCGCCAATGGAAAATCTAAGAAAAGTCACGTAATAATGCAGAAATTAACAATGTAACATACTCGTTATAACGATTAAAAATAGCGACGATAGAACGAGATCATAAGGCAACGTAATTCACGCGGACGAGATCGTTCCAATTAATCACGCGTCTCTAATTAACTTATCACCCGGCGGACACACCCGCGGCGCGATCTCCGCTCACGAGAACAAATATCTCGCGAGGATCATCCAATAAATACGACGATGATATCGACGCGATAATAAATACGGCGAAGGCGCGAGGGCATAAATTGCTTTCCTATTAGCAGAGCGCGTAGGCCGCCCGCGAACGATGTATTTCACCGATTTCCACGGGAATGCAACTTGTTCATCGTTAATGGCTGAAACGATCGGACGCAAACCAGTTCCCTGCGTTAACTAACCTCGCCCCGAACCGCGCTGTTACTTCATTGTGGCGTTTTTCAGAATAATATTGGGATTTACGAGGCAGTTGGAGATGGAAATAGCGATCCTCTTGTTGCCTCCCTGCCATCGTCGTCCAGATTAAAGAAACGCGAGAGAAACTTCTCAGATGTAATCTCGATTTGATTTATATCTAAATCATTGCTCTTGTTTCGACGAGCGAAGCAAATGTTGTTTTAATAAAACAAAGTGTTTCGTAGTAAGGTAAAAATTTAGAATGCAATTTAAATATCGAAATATTCCTTCTTGAGCCAACGATACTTGTTTGCTACTCAACGTTCTTACATTGTAGAACAATTAACCAGAAAGGACTGTTGTCTTAATCTTTTAACTGGCGAGGAGATTCGTCACTTAGATTTTTCAACCTCTTAAATTAATTTCTTTACTCGTAGATTCCCTATAATCTTAATGCAACGTATTATCTCGCAACTTTGATTTTTGAATCGATCTATTTATTATTTGTTAATCCTAGAATTATGTAGGACTCAGTGTAATCATTTTTAATGGAAAATCACTTGCACTGATTGGTTTTTGAATCTTCCAATTATAGAAAGTTGTAGTTAAAAACTGACTCAGTTAATAACAGACTTAGGTTTTAACCATTCTCTGGGAGTCTGGTTTTTGTCAGCAACATTCGATACTCGGCGGACAAACGATATTACATTAGCTAGCTGCGCAAACATCTGCCAATATTTCGGCTACGGTGACGCGTGTTCCGCTTCCTGTTCCTCACCGATCTCCGTTGTTTGCTCGCGGTTGTCTTGACGCACACGTCACGTCCGCGTGACGCGCTCTTTGATTAGCCAAACACCCTCGATCTCCGTTTGAAGATCGTGAAAGCTGACAGTGTATTCTATAGTTGAATGTGGGTACAGCTACATAGTTCAAAATATTCTTCATAGATGAAATAATCAACGAATTACAATCATTTGAGGTAACATCTCGTGTATCATAGAGGTGAAAATTAATCAATTTCTCGAGCAATTGCGTGATCGTTGGTAATGGTAACGATACTCGTGAATACAAAATGTAACGTTTCTTTTATTGTAAATCTAAGTTATTTTATATTTTCTAATCTTCAACAAACTAATTAATTAATTGAAATGAAAAAGAAAGAGAATCTCTAACACGATTAAATTTGTTTTATCACGAAGAATTCAATTTATATTTATTTCATTATAAATCCAATTATTTCATATCTCTTAAGCAAATTTGTTATTTTATATTTCTCAACAAATTATCATCATTTCAGACAACATCTCGCATACTGGAACAAAGTGAAAATCAATTAATTCGCAAGAAGTGAAGGAACTCGTTCGATACTGGATATCCACCATTAAGAGAAGAAACGTTTACATTTCTGCCGTAGCAGTGGGCAGCAATAAATATTTGTTGTCTGACTGTCGATCGGAACCACTATGCGACACAGTGGCTTGACAGACGTGCCGCTGTCGTTCGAGCTAAGTGCTCTCTGGCACGTTACACCGCAATACCTTGCATCATTGATTCATTCGTTTCAGAATTGTACCGAGTATTAAACATAGAAAGCAAGATGTCTTGTGAATCGCAATGAAATATCTCCTGTGTCCCAGAAGTATTAATCAGATCTATACTTTTTTCTCTTCACCGTTGGTATTTACACTTCCGCTCGTATGTTAAACTATAAGCTTTAGTAAAATACAGGCTCTGCACTTTAAATTAATCCTGTTGCGGATCATATTCACCTCTTTGCACTATAAATTAATTATCTTGATCAGATCGTATTCAATTTTGATTTTGCAAATTAAGCTTTTCCTTGAAGCTGCTTTGTTTTCCTTCTTCGAACGAATTTGTGATGAACCAGCCATTGTAATGAACATAAAAATTAGCATGAAATTTAACGTACAAAAATTAACATAATATTTAAAATATTATGTTAACGCTAAAGATATTTATATACATCAATGATGGTTTCATAGTTTATATGCAGTTTCTTACATTACAATAATCAGCCAAAGTAATTCTTGCAGAATTTAATTTTTGAAAGAACTTTGAAAGAAACACGGTTTGGAAAGTGTGATGATAGAAAAAACAAAATATATCTGCAAGATGAATTAGATTTGCGAAAAGGTGATCTGCAAAAAGATTCATTTGCAGAAAGAGGTCAATACGATCTGCAACAGATAACTAGTGTTCTACATCCACATACGACGAAGTTCTAAATTCTCGAGCTTATTTCTTTAATTTATTAACTCCCCCCTCTCCCGCCCTCCATCACGAATGGAAAATAATTGACGAAACTTTTCAGGTAGCGTAACCGACGATCGAATCGATTTCAAACGCTCTACGACCAATCTAACAGCAATTCGGTGGAGACCACCGCGTTCGAGCAACTCTCACGGCTCCATCGCCGCGTGGAACAGAAGAAGCCGGAAAGCCGCGGAGGTTGGCGGCCGTCATTGATCTCCTGTTAGAATCGAATCACTTCGATGTAACAAGATAAATAGTCAGCGGGGAACCGTGGATCCGAGGGGATCGCACGGATCGCGCAGTCATGCTGACTGTCCGATATCTGTCGGCTCCACGCAGTTCCTTCGACGCGATGCTGGAAAAACGGCTTAACGCGTGAATGCGAGAGGATGGTCGAAGCCGCGGCTCTGTTATCCGCGACAACAACTTGACAGCCCGCAGCCGCCAATTTTCTGCCTACGAGGAGAGAGAAAACACCGCGACAGCGATTATTCGGAGTACGCGAATTTCGTACGAGCTTTGGAGAATTTATTTATATATGACATATATGACATCGTTCAGGGTTTAGGTATTATGCGATGGTAGGATTTGTTCTACTTTTGCTTGTCGCTGGACTGTGGATTTTTTCATGCATTTATGGGAAGTTTGAAAAAATGTAATACACGTAGCATTTAGCTCTTAACTACGAAGAGAATATAAAATACAAAATAAAATAAAATAGAATACTAAATAAAATAAAATAGAATACTAAATTTATAATGTAATAGTATAATTATCGAGAGTTGATGAATAATCTAATTGCACTTGATTTTTTAAATTACATTCGTATTACATTCGTATAAAAATATAAATTTCTATAAAAATTCACAGTCATCATCTTTATCATTTCGTGTCCTCTCCTTTTTATAGAGGTTTCTATTTAAACATTCGTTATGTTTCTTATTTATTGAAGTTGATAATTTTGATTCCACATGAAGATTTTATAGCCTCGAGATCGTGTACGTTGATAAATTCTTTGGTACATTCTACAAGCCAGTATAGCGATTAGATAGGAAGAGATTTGAAGTTCTTCAATGAAATTTGACAGTCGAAATTTCGAAACTTCTACTTAACTATTGAATTGTCCGACGGTCTCGAACACAAACACCAACAAGAAACCAAAAAAAAAAAAAAAAAAAAGAGAAAGGAAAACTCGAGAGGTATCCCTCCAATTTTATGTTCGTCCGTGGATTTTACGTAACTCTGAGCCAAGCCACATGAGTTAGGCGAGTCTTCGGCCGATCTTCTCCGCCGAGTTTAATGCTTCCGTTCCGGACGTGGATATTCCAAGTTTTCGATCAGCACGAGCTGATCGGCTTTTTGCCTCGACTGCTTTTTGCCCGATCATCGCCACCTTCGTCACGGCCACGCCCGGGCACGTGAGGCCATGAACACTGTGTTACAGGTGTTTGCCCATCCTCGGGCCTTCTCGAATTCTTTTATGCCCTTTTGACTCGCTCGTTCGCTCGCTCACTCACTCTCTCTTTCTCTTTCTCTTGGTCTATTAACGCTCGCAGCCTACAACTTTTCCCAACACCAACACAACCGGCGGCTCATGTTTTATTTAATTCCGTTCCCGCCTCGCGAATTCCTTGTCGTTTCACTTCTTTCCACACTTCTCCACGATTTTAGTTATATCCATCCATCCAGCGGCTGTTCTTACTTAGCTTCCTGCTTCTTCTTCACGCCTTTCCTTTTTTCTTTTTCTTTTCTCTCTCGAACTCATTGTTGCGTCCTCTCACCGTATCTCCTTTCTTCGATTCTTTTCGGATCGGTTGTACGTAGTTCGTTTTGGTCCGTGGTCAAAAGTCCGGCTGATTCTGATTCGCGAACAGTTCGCTGGCAATGTTTTTTCGCGGGCAACCGTCCCTGTCACGATTTTAAACGCAACAATGGCAGAGGGAACGCTTCGAGCATTGTTTCGTCAAGCAGAAATATCTCTCAGTTTCGTAGAGACGGATGTTTTGCGGATGTTGTGCGAGACAGTAGATTGTAAGAATGTGCGGGTTCATGTGTCGTTCGATTTTTGTTTCATTCCGAAATAAAATTTTTGTTGACTAGAGAGATTTGTAGGAACTTGGTCCCTCTTCGATTATTTTAATTCGATATCTTTAGGAGGCGATCTCGTTGAAACTAGAAGATGATAATCATGGTTTTATGTTTCTGAGAAGAATTTTCTTTCTAATTGCAAGAGTAGAATTTTGTGATGATATCGTTGATAAAAATCCGCAATTTAATCATTAAAAATTAAGTTGTCAATGATGAAAATATATTAGTTTATTGAAGAACGAAATAACATTTATTGCAGGAATTCGATATTATTTTCTGACCAATAATACTTGTTCTGTGAATGAACGTCAATTTTGGAAGATCCATCTTTACGAATTTGATGATTCTGAATTTCTTGATTAGTATCAGAACGGTTGTTCATTCATTCATTGGCATTTATTTTTGTCTTCTATCCAATGTATAAACAGCTAACAAAAATCGGCAAATTTTTAAAGATCATACAAAGAATTTTATCAAAAATTGTGCCATTAAACTTCAAAATACAAATCATAGATAAAAACAAGATTTCTCTTGTACATGTAGATCGCCACGAGGGGATTATTAAATAAAGGAAATCTAGAACTATATAGATTACAGCAAAGAACGAGAACTTACTTTT